CGACTGGTACCAGCAGCAGCTGCAGCGAGTGCAGGAGCGCCAGCGCCGCCTGGGCCAGAGCCGGGCCAGCCCCGTGAGTGCCGCCGCCTCCCTGGGCAGAGCACGCCCCTTCCCACCCACCCAGGCCCCAGGTCCTGCTGGGAACCGGCCTGCCCCTGTTTCAGGACACAGTGGCTGTCCCTTCACACTGGGTGCCGGGACGTCCCCGGCTCCCAGGACCCAGGGGGCCCTGGGCAAGCCTCCCCTCCAGCAACACCCCTGGGCAGCCACTCCAGGGGGCAGGAGTGCCACCTGTGAGGACCCCCTCTGGCACCGCGTGGCCCCTCTCTCTGACCGCCTGTCCTCTGCTTTCCTCCCAGGACCTCGGGGCTGCGGGGAGCCCCCGCCCGCTGGGGCAGCTGCTGCCCAAGGTCCAGGAGGTGGCCCGGTGCCTGGGGGAGCTTCTGGCCGCGGCCTGTGCCGGCCGGGTAAGTGTCCTCCCTGCCCGGCTCCGCGCCCCCGAGCCCTCGTGCAGCCCGCCTGACCATGTCCTCCCGCAGGCCCTGCCCGCGGCCTCCGCCTCGCCCCCAGGCTGGCAGCAGCAGCAGCAGACCATCTTCATGCTGAAGGAGCAGAACCGACTGCTCACCCAGGTGAGGTGCGGGAGGGCTGTGGGCTGGCACCGGGTCTAGCAAGCCGTGACTGACGGCCCATCTGCCCGTCCACCCAGGAGGTGACCAGCAAGAGCGAACGCATCACGCAGCTGGAGCAGGAGAAGTCTGCCCTCATCAAGCAGCTGTTTGAAGCTCGCGCCCTGAGCCAGCAGGACGCCGGGCCCCTGGACTCCACCTTCATCTAGGCGGGTCCGAGCATGGGCTCTGGGCCCCTCCGGCCTGGTGCTGGCCCTGGCAGGTACCCCCTTGAGCCCAGTCTCTCTGGCTGGAGACCACGTGGCCAACTGGACCTAGGCCGTGAGCAGGGGCGCTTCCTCCTCCCTTGAAGTCTGGCTCCCCCGTGGCCTGCCCCAGGCGAAGCCCCCAGGCCAGCCCCCAGGCCCGCCCGTGCGCCCAGACACTGACTGGTTTCTGGCTTCGGCGCCGACCCAGGCTGGGCTCTGGGGAACTGGCATAGTCTTAAGCTGCTACTGCCGCTGTCAGTGGACAGTGGGGGACCCTTCCTCGTGTTTACCAGATCTCAGGCAGCCCCGGGCAAGGAGGGGCTGTGGCAGCCCCGTGCCCACGTTTACAGCGGCCCTGCCCTCCCTCTGACCCTGGGTCCCGGGTCTCTAGTAAAAGGCACTGTTCACACTGGGCTGCGCTTCCAACAATGGCCAGCAGAGGGCGCCGAGCGAGGGCGGTCCCTGCCCTGGAGCCCCCATGGGTGTCTCGAGTGCGGGGGGGGGCGGGCGGAGGGCGCCCCGGCAGTGGACTGGGGGACCCGGGGACCGAACCGGTGTTGGCGCCTAAGGGGGGCTTCTTTCCCTCGCCCGAGGGCACAGTGAAAGGGGGCTGCCGCTCAGATGGGAGCAGATGGAAGGGTTGGCCTTGGGGGTGTTTTGCTTGTGCCCTGGGCAGGGGTGATGGTCAGGGCTCGTGTCCTGGTCAAGGCTGAGAAGAGATCTGGCTGCAGATGGAGCAGGCTGGGCAGGCTCCAGGAGTGGGGTGAAGCTGGGCCGCCGGCCGCTCCCATGGCCCCCAGATACTAAAATGTCCCCAGTCTCCAGCCTCCTGGCCAGGACCCTACCTGAGACTCAGTCCCACGGAGCACCCCATGCCCAGGCTCCGAGCCTCTGGCCAGCGTGGGCTGACAGTCACCTGGTGGCTCAGGCGGCCTCTCCTCTGGGGACCCCTGCCCCTGGAGGGCTGTCAGCCTGGGCCCCCCAGACAGACCCCGAGTGGGTGCAGGCAGAGTGTCCACTGGACCCCCCCCAGGACTCAGGATTCCCGAGGCCTGGGACCTGCTCATACCTCCTCCCCCACACCCCACGTGGCCCCACTTCCCCTCTGCCACAGAAAAGCTAACGGGGCGCAGGACAAGGCTGGGGCAGAGCCCCCCAGGTTGTCTCTCCCTTGCCCCTGGCCAGGCCTGCTCCTGCTGGCTGCTAGGGTGGACCCTGGTGGGGAGACCCCTGCTCAGCTGGGTCTGGAGGGGGCGTCTCCGTTACGGGGCTGCCCCTGAGGGACCCAGCCGGCGACTGGGCTCAAAGGCAGCTTCCTTCCCTCGACCCAGGGCACCAGGACAAGGTGGCCGTTGCTTGGACGAGACGGATGGGGGGAGTGGCCTCTAAGGGGGGGCTCTGCCAGTGCCCGTGGGCAGGGGAGCCCCGGGGTGGGGGTCAGGTTCATGTCCCAGCCAAGGCTGAGGAGTCTGACTGCAGCCGGAACAGGCCGGGGCTCGGTGCCACCAGGGTCACAGTGGGCTTTGTGATCCCGGGCCCTGATGCCAGGTGCAGTGTCACGCATAGGATCACTGAGTGCCAGGAGCACTTGGCAGGCCGCCCCGAGAGCACCCCCGTCTCAGGAGGGGTCCTGGCGAGCGGAGTGAGACGCCTCCTGGCCGTGGCAATCCCATCGAGCCTGCGTGCCCGACATCGAGCCCACCTCCCGGCCGCACTCGGCCCCAGCAGTGTCCCAGGTCAGGCCCATTGGGCTCATGTGCCACCACCCTCCTCCGGGGATGGGAGAACGTTCTTCTGGGGCCCTAAGCCACGCCCAGCCTGGGCCTCCTGGGCAGAAAAGGGAGCAGTCCTGAGGCGAGAGGTGCCCCAGCACCCATGCAGACTTTCGGCGACGGGGAGGCCAGCGCCAGCAGGGAGAAATCGCCCCTGTGTACAGGTTGGGCTCTGCCCCCAGACCTCCGCATCCCGCCAAGCCCGCCTGTGAGGGTGCCTGCCATGCCCCGGGCGTCCTGCAGCCCTTCCAACACCTTCCCGGGGCTGGAGGCAGGCGGCAGAGCGGTGTCTGCCCCGGGACGACAGTCACTAGGCAGCCTCGCCCCTAAACTGGCTCCTCGGCTGAAGACAAAAAGGGAGCCCATGGTGGCGGGCGTAAAGCTGGGCCTGGGTGTCCCTGCAGGGAGAAGAAAACTGGCCCTCCAAGTTGCAGCCTGAAGCTGGGCTACGTGTGTGGCCGCCCAGACCCAGGGGAGGATTGAAAGTTCAAGGCCCGGCGCTGGCAGGGGCCAGTGTGAGTTCTCGCCGCGGAGGCCAACGCACCACGGCCGGCTGTGAGCCGCATCCCTGGCCTCTGTCCACTAGGTGCCAGTAGTGCCCCTCACACTCCCAGCGGTGACCATCAGCAATGTCTCCGGACATCGCCAGTGTCGCCTAGGGAGAATTGTCCCCGGGCGAGCATCGCAGCTCTGGGGGCATGCGACTTTTCCAGGCCCAAGTTCTAAGGGAAAACAGCATCTCCAGGTAAAGAGCAAACAAACAAACAAAAAACTCCATCGTCACAAGGTCACATGGCACTGCAGAAGCCGGCAGAAATGACAGAATCAGCCGGGCTCGGTGGCTCAGCCTGTCATCCCATGCCTTTGGGAGGCTGAGGCAAGTGGATTGCCTGAGCCCGCGGGTTCAAGACCCGCCTGGGCAGCGAGACCTCATCTCTACAATAAAATAAAAAATCAGCCGGGCGTGGTAGCACGCACCTGTAGTTCCAGCTACTCGGAAGGCTGAGGCAGAAGGATCACCGGAGCCCAGCAGGTCGAGGCTACGGTGGCCGGGAGTGGCCACTGCACTCCAGTCTGGGTGACAGAGTGAGACTCCGACTCAAAAAAAAAAAAAGAAATGACAGAATCTGTCAACACAGATGCCTGAATACAAAGCAACGATGTTTCTATAGAGCTAAAGGAATAAAAGAGATTCTTGAAAATATCAGCAAGGAATAGTCTTGGCATTCTCTTATTGCACAAAAGTATCTCTTGTGCCACCAAGAAAACCCATGGAGTATGAAAAAAATCAAATAGAACTTTTAGGAATAAAAAATATAGGCAGGGCCTGGTGGCTCACACTTGTAATCCCATCATTCTGGGAGGCTGAGGCAGGAGGATTGCTTAGCCCAGGAGATGGAGGCTGCAGTGAGCTGTGATCATCCCCCTGCACTCCAGCCTGGACTACAGAGTGAGACCCTGTCTCAGTAAATTAGGATAAAGGCAGGTCACAGCCAGGCGCAGTGGCTCACGCCTGTAATCCCAGCACTCTGGGAGGCTGAGGTGAGAGGATTGCCTGAGCTCAGGGGTTCAAGACCAGCCTGGGCAACTTGGTGAGACCTCGTCTCTACAGTAAATAAAAAAAATTAGCCAGGAGTGGTAGTGTACGCCTGTAGTTCCAGCTACTTGGAAGACTGAGGAGGAAGGATCCCAGTAGGTCAAGGCTGCGGTGGCCATGAGCGTGCCACTGCACTCCAGCCTGGGCGACAGAGTGAGACTCCAACTCAGAAAAAAAAAAAAGGCAGATCACAGTGGTTCACGCCTATCATCCCAGCACTTTTTGGAGGCCAAGGTGGGAAGATTGCTTGAGGCCTACAGAAAGTTTTAAAAACAACTTAGCAGACCAGGTGGTGTACACCTGTCATCCCAGCTGCTCAGGAGGCTGAGAAGGGAGGACTACTTAAGCCCAGGAATTTGAGGCTGCAGTGAGCCATGAATGTGCCACTGCACTCCAGCCCGGTCAATGAAGTGAGACTCCCACACAAGCAAAAAAGGCACACATGTCTTAGTAATCAGAATTTATGCAAATGAATTTGACTCACTAGATCAAAGACAAAGCTGTCAGATTGGATTTTTAGACATTCAGATTAAACTGTTTTAAGAAAAACACCTAAAGTATAAAGACATCAAAAACAATAAAAGTCTGGGTAGGCCGGGTTCCGTGGCTCAGCCTGTAATCCCAGCACTTTGGGAGGCCGAGGCGAGTGGACTGCTTGAGCCCATGGGTTCCAGACCAGCCCCAGCAACTTGGCAAGACCTCATCTCTACAATAAGAATAAAACATAAAAAAATTAGCTGGGCATGGTAGTGCACACCTGTAGTTCTGGCTATTTGGAAGGCTGAGGTGGAAGGATCACTGGAACCCAGCAGGTCGATGCTGGGGTGGCCGTGAGCGTACCACTGCACTCCAGCCTGGGCAACGGAGTAAGAGTCCAACTCAAAAAAATAATAATAAATAAATAAAAGTCTGAGCCGGGCTCGGTGGCTCAGCCTGTAATCCCGCGCCTTTGGGAGGCTGAGGTGAGTGGATTGCCTGAGCCCGCAGGTTTGAGACCCGCCTGGGCAGCGAGACCTCATCTCTACAATAAATCAAAAAATCAGCCGGGTGTGGTAGCGCATGCCTGTAATTCCGGCTACTTGGAAGACTGAGGCGGAAGGATCGCCGGAGCCCAGCAGGCGAGGCTGCGGTGGCCGGGAGCGGCTACTGCACTCCAGTCTGGGCGACGGAGTGAGACTCCAACTCAAAAAAATAAAATAAAATAAAATAAAAATCTGGGTAACTATGTTAATATAAGACAAAGCAGATTTTAAGGAAAGAGATATTACTAATCATAAAAGGGCTTGCCACATAGGGCTGGCTAGTTTTTTTTTATTTAATAAAAAGCTCAACTCACTGGGAAGATAGAACAATCTTGAACTTGCAATCACTCAATACTATAGCCTCAAAATACATTCATTACAAAAGATATGCAAACATGGCAGCAAAGATTATGTACAAATGGCAAATAAGCACATGAAAAGATGTTTAACATCATTAGCCATTAGAAACGCAATGAGACATTGCTGCACCCCCCACCAGAATGGCTAAAATGAAATACAACACTGTGTGCTGGTGAAGATGTAGAGAGACTGGACTGCTCATACACTCTG